ATACAACAGGTAAATCCTCCTTCTTTACTCCATTCGTCTTCCCTCCATCTTTGTCGTCTTCATCCTTCTCTTGTCCTCTTGTCTGACCTGCAGGTTAGACACAGGTGTGAGGTGTCAGCTGTCAGGTAGGTGATGAGTGAAGAACAGAACAGAATCCATTTCCTCTTCAAACTGCTGTCAGACATTATCTACTGCACTCTGATCACATCACTCAGACCAGCTGCTTTCTACAAAGTCTCATCAACAACATCTTTAGAAACAAACATCAACAACCAGGAAGCAGCTTCACCTCTGATCACACACACACTCAACTCTACTCACTCACCTGGAGGAACAACATGAAGGTGGATGGTGTTGATGACATTCAAATGCTTTGTTCCTATCTGGACGACACCACACTCGTATGTTCCAGCATCATTAATCGTCACATCCTTCAGAATCAAAGACACGTCTCCATCCTTCATCTGTCTGTCCTGCAGATCCACCCGGTTCTTAAAAGATGGATGCTGGTCATCTGGTTCAAAACGCCCATCCCGGAACACAAACACATATTTATCTCTCAGGTCAGCTCTGCTCCACTTTACAACTATGATGTTGTTGTTTGGAGCTCGACATGTCAGAGTGATGTCCTGTCCAGACTCGGCTGTGATGATTTTTGACTCTGAAAGAGGAAACAACACAGAGAAGAGAGGTTAAAGGTCAAAGTACAACTGATCACTTCAACAGCAAGTGATCAGTGAGAGAAACTGCAGAAAGTGATCTCGCTCAGATCAGTCATCAGTGGTGTTTCAGTCAGTCAGTTGTAAATATAATGCTTATTAATGCATAAAAAAAAATCATTTTACAGTAGGAAACAACAATAATACAGGCGACCGAAAAGGTTCAGTCAATGGTAATGGAAATGAGTCGAAACACAACAAAGATTGTGTCATATTGTGTTAATGAATATTAACACTGATGAACACTTTTGGTCCATCCTGAGAAAAACACAGAACCTAAAAACATGAACAGGATTTTTGCCAAGAAAAGACGTGAAACATCCAGCTCTGCCAAAATGGTGAATGTTTTGACTTGTTATTATTAAAATATTAGTTAAAAGCACAAATTTTATTTATGTTTTCATGTTTTTTGAAGAATGCTTATATTTTGAAATTGCACAATGTTGACAGAAGAGCAAAACATTTTAATTTATTTTAAGTTGAAGTTGATTTATTTTGGAATAATAATGCAACCGGTTTGTTTCAATGCATATTTAAGTAATTCTTGAGAAAAGGGACAAGACATGTCTGTCAAATAAAATCCAATTTTGGCATTAGAAATTTGAATACGTAAGTGACTAAAAGACAAACCAAGACAATGTTTATACAACAAAAGTATGATTTTGCATTCAATAAATGCTCATGCAGCAGTCCTGTAAAATTGCTGTGACAGGAACCAGCCCTCTCATTATAAGACACTGTGAGTCTCTGCATGCTGCCTTTATGGAGCTACAGCTGTTTGTATACACTGAACAAAAAGCTTTGTAGCTGCATCCTGACTCCTGACACTACAACACATCACACTGACACACACATTACACTTCTTTGTCTCTGTCACAGCTGGATTACAGCCACAGATATAACATCTACACAGAGTCTATCAGGCCTCTCAATCAAAATAAAACTAACACCTTGTGAAATATTGTTGACTTGTAATACAGGTTCATTCTCTTTGTCTCAAAAGCAAATATATTTTGGTTTATAATGGTTAAACCTCACCTGCAGAGACAAACACGAAGAAGCCGACAAACAGCAAAGTGGAGCCGAGTGACGCAGTTATAGCAGACATGTCCGTGTTCTCAAGTTCAGCTGAGCAACACTTTAATTGTGAAAAATGTCTGAGTCTGTTAGTATTCCAGTGAATGACCCCAGTATCTCGACTTCATTAGATTCAATTTAAGGTCTAAATACAGCTAAATGTTTTGTCTTTTCTGCTACTCAAACTCAACACCTTCGCTTCAATCTCGTTTCAGGAAGTCACATGACATTTGATACTTCGGACTGTAGGACAATCATAAATAAGTGCGTCATAACTAAAGCAGTGAAATCGAAAGCAAGTCTGAATGTTTAACAGGTTAAATTCGTGAATGACACAACACACAATGAACAACACAAACATAACCTCATAATCTCATCATCAATAATCAGCTACACACTAAAGAGCCTCATCAGTCACAGAATATTTTGGTTTTTAACAGTTAAATCTCACCTGCAGAGACAAACACAAAGAAGCTGACAAAAACCAAACTGAACCAGAGTGACGCAGTTACAGCTGACATGTCCGTGTTCTCAAGGTCAGATTATCCAACACTTATATTGGGATAAAAGTCAGTTGGTATTTCCAGTGAATGAAGTTTTTTAATTCATTAGATTCAAATTAAGGTTTAAATAAAACTAAAAGTTTGATCTTTTCGGCCACTTGCTTAAACTCACCACCTTTGCTTCAACGTCTCTTAATGAAGTCGCATTAGAGTGACGTTTGTTACTCTGCTCTGTAGGACGATCATAAAGTGTGTCACGACTAACGCAGTGAAATCTAAAGCAGGTCTGAGTGTTTAACAGGCTGATCTCCAAAGAACAAAAGAAACATAACCTCATAATCTCATCATCAATAATCAGCTACACACTAAAGACCATCATCAGCCAAAGCACTTCAAAATGACGTCACTGTATAAAAATGTATATAGTACTATGGAGGAGGCAGCATTTAGCTGTAGCCTCCATAAAGCCACAGAGAACTTTGTCCACCTTTGATTGTCTTTAAGTTGTGTTGGAGCCACAGAGAGCAAATCTTTGTTCGTTATGGAGAACCAGTGAGGCTGTTTGGACTTTCCTATGAAACATCAGTGCAGGAGTGTCTCAGTATATCTGTTTACAGTGAGGACAAAGAAGCAGCAGAAACACACACTGAGAAAACATGGAAAAAACTTTTGAATTCATTAAAAAAAAAAGTAAAAAAAGGAAGAAAGTACAGCTGCTGAAATTGTTGGAGCCTAAAACTAGAATTAAATTAAAGACAGGCTTTACATAAAGGTCTAGTCTAGTTCTGTCCTGAAATTTAAAAAGTGTTGAAACAGGCACACACCCTATCTTTGAGGAGGCTTGTCTGTACATGCTTTATATTTGGCTTGTTCTCCTTTTCTTCACTGTAAGCAATTTCTTTTCTCTCATTTTCATCAAACCAACATTCTGTAAATGAGTTACTCAATTAACTTCTGTGTGAAATTGTCAAAAAACAAAATGAGGTAAAAAGAATCTTAATAATCATTGTAACCTAATTAACATTAGCAATGCATTGCTCAAATAATAATTTGAACAATACAAACCAGATGGTGTCAGATCACTTACTGTTCTCGGGAATTCAGGACAGTCCTCGGTTTTTTGCTGCTCATCTTGATGAGGAAAGATGAGATCACATTTTTATTCTCTCTCAGTCACTTTTCTGAGTTAGAAGCAGTCCAAAGCTGACATAAGTGTTAAATTAATTCATGTAAAACAGAAGTAAAAAGAAAAATCCAGAAATAAGTGCTGATAGAAAAACGGGACACTAACTTCACCAAGTTACTAACTTCAGCTGTGAAAACACCAACTGACACAGAGACAGGAGAGAACAGCTATTTTACACTGTCAGACAGACAGGATCAGACATGTTTTGCTATGTTGTTTGATGCAATGATGTTGAAACTTGGAGCTAAAGTCGACATCGCAAACTTGCTCAGATTTTGAGGAGTATTCATACTGTGTGGCAGGTTGAGGCAACATTCAGTGATGGATAAGATCTGTGTGGTATGCATTTTCACCTTTTTTCACCAATATTGTTGTGTTTAATCAAAAAAGGTGATTGATTAATTAATTAAAAGGTGATTAATTAAATCACCTTTTAATTAATTAATTAAAATGTGAAAAACCAATACAAAGGTTCAGAGAAATACAGCAAATTATTTAATGCACACCAATTATTTCAGGAATAACTTCTTCCAAAATTAGCTTACCAAGTTTTTAAATAAAAAAAATATTATTTTAGTTTCTTTCTTGATATACACACACACACATGTATATATATATACCGGTATACATACATATATATATGAGGCTGTCATGGCTCGGCTGTGTGGCAGGCAGGATGAGGACCCAATCGCAAAACTCACAGACTCAGGGAATGAACTCAAAAAGCAGCTTTATTGCTGACAAAAGATAATAGGAGATACAAAACTAAACTGGGAAAAACTAACATAAGGCTCACCAGGAAACACAGGGGGAATCACACACAGCATGAGGGAGAACGCGACACAGAACTGAGGGAGACG